TCTCTCCCACCAGAGTAACTTGCATTCATCCTGGGTTACGCAGATCTTGAAGAAGCCCTGGGAACACTGTGGGTTGGGTGTTGGGCTGAGGACCACAGGGTTGGAGGCTCAAAGTCAGGAGCTACTTCATGAGAGAAAGACGAGGCTGTCTGCTCTTTAAAGATTCTGTCTCAGAAACCCTGTCGTGGAGAGCGAGGACTCAGAATGGACTCGATGGCAGTTTGTTTCGGGTTATGTAGCTCTTGAGGACACCAACTTGAAAGATTAAATTGAGTACTGATTTTGACCGTAAGGGCATCGTGTATACACAGTGGAGAAGCTCTGACAACATTTGGGTTTTTTAAGTTTATAACCAAATGGAAATTGTGATTTTTTTACAACCCATCATGAATCTTTCTTGTCCATGCAAACCCACATCTTTCAAGTGTTCTCGTTTCTGAAATTATATGGGTAGTAATACTGAAAGTAAGATTAATTGTAAGGATTATGCCATAGCAATGTAGGATGCTATAAACAGGGAAAACTGGGTGAGGGCTCTATGCAAACTAGTGTACTGCCATCAATCGCCTCGCGTACATATGGAACTTGACAGTGAAAGAGGAAGACTTGGTGCGTTTGAAGGATGGTGTTGGGGGGGATTATTCCAAGTACACTGGACTGCCAGAAGAACAGACAAATCTGTCTGGAAAGAAGCACAGCCAGAAAGCTCCTAGAGAACTAACGGTGACACTGGACACATGGAGGAGGAGGGACCAGACCCTGGAGAAGGACATCACGCTGGGAAAAGTTGAGGGTCGGTGAAAAAGAGACAGACCTTCCAGTCGCTGGTTTGACACAGTGGGTGGATGCAACAATAAACTCAAAAGCAACCACTTGTGAGAATAGCACAAGACCTGGTAGTGTTTCCTTGTGTTATATATAGGCTTGGAACTAACTCAACTCTGCAGAACATCAAACAACAATACTGTCTTCTAAAATTTTCTGTAACTATAATTTGTTCTTTAAAAAAAATCTGGTCTTTAAAAAAGCAGGAGGGGGGAGCTTCCTCTTGGTACAGAAAGTAAAGCATTGAGCTGTAAACAGAAGGTAGGCAGTTCAAGCCCACCAGCCAGTTGGTCTGTTTCTCTAAAGATTTACAGCCTTGAAAACCCTCTGGGATACACTCTACCCCCATATGGCCACTATGAGTCAGAATTGACTTATTGATAATGGGTTTGTTTTCTTTTGTGATTAAAAAACAAACCAACAAGCGCAAAACTAATTTCTGCTTCATACAATCTCCTGATTCTAGAGTGTTTCCATTATCTGTAAAATGTTTAGCATTAAGAGTTAAAACAACAAAGCCCACATGGAAGAATCACAGGAGCCAGTTAGGGTGCAGGGTGGCAACAATGATACATACAACTTTCCTCTAGTTCTTAAATGCTTCCTCCCCACCACTATTGTGATCCCTGTTCTACCTTACAAATCTGGCTAGACCAGAGGATGTACACTGGTACAGATAGGAAGTGGACACACAGGGAATCCAGGACGGATGATCCCTTCAGGACTAGTGGTGTGAGTGGCGATACCGGGAGGGTGGAGGGAAGGAGAGGTAGAAAGGGGGAACCGATTACAAGGATCTATATATAACCTCCTCCCTGGGGGATGGACAACAGAAAAGTGGGTGAAGGGAGACGTCGGACAGTGTAGGATATAACTAAGTAATAATTTATAAATTATCAAGGGTTCATGAGTGAGGGGGGAGTGGGGAGTGGGGGGGGAAAGTGAGGAGTTGATATCAGGGGCTCAAGTGGAAAGCAAATGTTTTGAGAATTATGACGGCAACAAATGTACAGGTGTGCTTGACACAATGGATGGATGGATGGATTGTATGAGATGGATAAGAGTTGTATGAGCCCCCAATAAAATGTTTTTTTTAAAAAGAGTTAAAACAAATACTCTGGCAATATTTTCCCTTTGGAAATAGCACATTACTGAACTATTTCCAAACCCCTATTTAATTTTGGGTATCTTCGTACCTAACAAGAATAGTACAGTATAGATTTTTATTTCAAGGCAAAAAGCACAGGAAAAATTTCTTGCACCTATTATCTCTAGTAAGTTTAAAGCATATCAATTTCACTTACTTTCAAAATTGGTTTATGTTTAGATTTAAGGGTTAGGATTCACTTATATTTTATAATTATTGAGTGTTAAGATTCATTTATATTTCATAACTAAGCATTTTCTAAAGTGAAAATATGAATATGTAGATCTTCTGAACTTACATCTATAATACAAATATATGCAGTTTCATACGCCACTGAGAATGTGAAATGCATCTTAACTGGCATTTTAAATACTATTTTTCAAATTATTCAGATTTAAATTATTCCCTTAAGCTCATTCCTTTATTGGTCTTATATTTCTATAATCCACATGTATATAATAGATTTTGCAACATTTAAGACTATATCAAGTGTATTCTTGTGACTATCATTTTCATCAGGGCTTAGAAATACTGATGCTTACTGCTATTTCTATGATTAGTTTGATACTATTTCTGAGTTTGACTCTTTTTCATTACCTAGCTATCTTTCAGGGCCTGGTATTTTGATTTTTTAATTGATATTCTATATATTTGAAATGGCATTTTTATTTCAGCTGCTAAAGTATTCGATAGCGCCACCACTCTAGCTGAGGTGCTGGTGTGTTGCCGTATAAATGTTCAAAGTACAGCTTCTAATGTTGAAAAATAGAAAAATAAATTGACCTTGATGAAGTGTGTCTTCTTTTGTCTGTTCCCCGGAAAGTTTATTTCAGGTATTTCTACTGCTGAAATGATTAGCGTTAACAGCTTTTTCCCTCCATTTTATTTTACAGGGTCTCTTCATCTTCCTGATATATGAGGTGTACAACCCAGAGGTAAGTCGGCCAGGAGTATCTCAAGGCTGACAGAGTGAATGAGAGAAATGACAGGTTTCTTATCTTGATAACTGAGGAACAGAGTTGGCTTTTCATATGAGTGTCCTACTGCCCTTCACGCTTGGGCTGGCTTATATGCATCCCAGCTTACTCTTAAACACCACCACCCTGAACAAAGGGACAGCCTCATTTCTCATAGGCATTGACTAATATTTTACCACTGCCTTAAGTTTTTGAATTTCAGTCTCTGGGTTAACACTTTAGCTGGACTTGAGAGCATTAAGGCTTCGCAGCGAAAGAGTGTTCATATATAGTAGCAGGAAGTTTGAAAAGTACCATTTGGGGCACCTCCAACTGCTCATTAGTCTTTCAAGCTTTTGAGGTATCGACTCAGAGATGTCTTGTTTTTATTTTTGTGGGGTTTTCCCCCCAGAGAAGTCTTGAGGTGTCCATTATGCTCACTAGGATTTCAGTTGTGACATTTCTAAGTTACTTAGCTAGAGACATTGTGAGAAAACGGACCTGCCATTTCATTCATATACGACATAAAGAAGCAATCATCTTCCAGTTCTTATTAAAAATCTGAACTGTTTTGGTAACGTTGATGGCAGCCTATGTACAAGTATGCATAACACAATTACCTGATGGAGTTTTATAAGATTTGTAAGAGCCCCCCAATCAAATGATGAATAAAAATAAAAATCTGATTTATAAATGTGCTTCACTAGGAAGCTTGTTGGTTCCAATTTTTTGCATACTTAATACGCAGGTCTCAGTGTGGGTCGCTTTGAGTCAGCATCAATGATGACCGTGAGTGAGATAATGAGGGTGGCCTAAGGGACAAAACAAAGCTTCCCCTATGGGTTTCTAAGCTTTAAACGTTTAAGGACCACAAAGCTTTTTGGCTGTGATTGACTGGCACAGCTGAACTGCTGACCTTGCGGCTAGCAGCCAAGAAATCCACTGGATTTGGGTGAGCACCTACTTCAATGTACAAAACCCACTGCCAGCAGTCCATTCTGACTCACATATTGAGCCTAAGTAGGTTTTTTTTTTGGGGGGGGGCAGAGGGGGAGGGTTTCTGATACTAAATCTTTATGGAACCAGACAACCTAATCTTTTTCCCGCATCTGAGCAGCTGGTGGATCTGAACTGCCAACTCTGCGGTTAGCACCTCGACGCCTCAGGCATGAATACTTAGGTTTCCTTTTTGTTGATCTGATTTTGCTTTCAAGATTTTACTTGGTAATTTCTCTTTAAGAGATAGAATTAGTCATTTCTCATGCATTTTCCAGTGTTCTATAGGGGGGAAGGGAGTGGCAGGCCTGGTAGCCAGTCCTTCAGATATAATGGGCAGTAGTACAACGTGGCAAACACACTCATTAGCCCAGACTGCGGAGGTATGAGGGCATTTAAATGACATCTGATGGTGATGAAGTATGTGTGTGGGTGTGTTTTACAGGGCTGCTGCACCTGGATCACACGCCGTTTCCTTTTCCAGTAGCCTTCAGGTAAGTTGGCAGTATGACCTTTCTTTTTTGGTCTGCATTGGTACCTCAATTGCAGTTTCACAAAGGGCTCCTCCTCTAAATGCGGGGGGGCAGGGAGGAGACGCGCTCATTAACAAAGTGTTACCAAAATTAAGCGGGATACCCAGGCAAGCAGTTTTTTGTTTTTTTTTAACAAATGTTAAATATTTAGCGTTTAATGCTTTTAGGTAGAGCTTAGAATCAAAGCGAGTTAAGTGATCCATTGCATGGGTTTGGATTTGGATGCAATGCTTGGATTGCAAACTTCACCGAAAGCCCCAGCCTTCAGCCTCAGTTTACCCCCATCTCCTCCAACCTCCTCCTCTCCAGCTCCCACGCCACGCTGCAGAACCGTCCCCCGTTAACTTCCCGCCCCTTGGATTCCACCTCCTGAGCGGACCCCAACCCAGAGCCCCCCCCTCCCCCCAATCATTTTCATCTCCTTCAACACAGCCCACCAACCACGACTAACCTCCACAGAAGCCCCCTCTCGAGCGGGGCTCCAAGTCCCCGCCCCGCCTAGCCCGGGCCGCCCCTCCGCCCAACCGCCCCAGTGATTGACAGGCAGGCCGGGCGGAAGCTGCGGCGCAGGCGCGCTGGCTCCGCGGCGCTTCCCTCTGGCCGGGTCGAGGCGTTCCCAGCAGGCACCGCGCCGCGGCTGCGCAGTACCGGGGAGGCTTTTAATTCCATTGTGGAGAGGACGGCGTTATTTTTATTAACTGGAGGCGACGGCGGCTGCGGCGGCAGCGGGACCCGTAAGTGTGGCCGGGGGTCCCGGGGGCGGGAGGGCGAGCCCCGCGGGGGAGGCTCCGAGCGCTGCGTGTCGGTGCCGGAGGCGGCGGGGCTGGG